AGACTCCTCCCATTTATGCTGACTTTTGTCTGTTGTTGTTGCTGTGGCTGTCGGCCAGGAATCTTCGTCACCTCTGTCTTCTCTATGTTCACCTGAAGAAATTCCTATCTTTGGTGCTTCTTCTGCCCACTTGCTGCTTTTCATTTGCATATCTTCTAGTTTGTGGGAAATCAGACAAGTATCATCGGCGAAGTCCAGATCCTGCAAGTTTTTTGTGTGAGTCCATTTTGTGCCTGTTTCCTCGCTGCTCGCTGTCTGTCGCATTATCCAGTCTACCGCAATCAGGAAGATCATTGGAGACAGTAGGCAGCCATCTTTGTCTTACTCCCGTTTTCACTTCGAAGGATTCCGTGAGTTTCCCGTTATTGATTACTTGGCATGCAGCATTGTCGTACAACCGTTGTATGAGGTGTATAATTGTTGGCGGCACCCTATAGTAGAGACGTCGTTTTCAAATCACCTCTCGATCGACGCTGTCAAAGGCCTTTTCAAAGTCAATGAATTTGAGATAGAGAGGTAACTGCCATTCCAAACTTTGTTCAATGATGATCCGTAGTGTGGCGATTTGATCAATACATGACTTGTTTCTCCTGAATCCAGCTTGTTCCTGTCGAAGTTTTTCATCCAGGGCGTGTTTGATTCTCTCCAGTATGATGCGGTTCAGTATTTTGCTTGGGATGGACAGAAGCATAATTCCGCGCCAGTTCTTGCATTGACTTAAGTCTCCTTTCTTTGGTAGTTTGAATAAGTATCCTTTCTTCCAATCCTCGGGTATTTTGCCTTCTTTCCACACCTTCTCCAGTAGTGGCGTCATCAAGTCCGCTGATGTCTCGGGGTCCATTTTCAATGCCTGTGCTGGGATTCCGTCTGGTCCTTCTGCTTTCCCAGTTTTAGCATCTTTATTGCCTTCAAGATTTCTGTTATCGTCGGAGGGTTGATGTCCACTGGTAGTTTTGCTTCCGCTGTTGGTCTTATTGGGCACGTTGTAGGTGGCGGTCGACTAAGACGCATACCTGAAATCAATAGTCGGTAAGCTAAATTTGGGCTACCAATACCACATGCTGAAAATTCTTTACTTGTACCAAAATACTGTACGGAATCAAGCAATAATCAAAAATAAATATACAAATAAGTCTTTTGAAGTGTTCAGCCCAGTGTTTCCTTTGCTCTACTTCTTTGGTGAGTGACTTGTCATTGTCATCCTTCACTGGCTTAATTTGTGTCGAACTTTTCCCTGATAGAAACCTAGTTGTTTGGTAGAGTGTTGCGATGTCTCCTTTGCCTGCAGCTTGTTCTGCTTCCCTTGCCATGGCTTCATAGTATTTTCTCTTGTCTTCTCTGGCACTCTTCTTCACTGTTTTGTTCAGTGTATTGTAGCTTGCACTCAACTGCTGCTTTTGTTGCTCGCCGGTGCACTGGATAATCCTTTGTTTCATCATCCTTCTCTATTCTATTAGTTTCCATGTGTCCATAGTGGGCCACTGTTTGTTCTGTCTCTTCTTTTTGCCTAGAACTTCCATGCAGGTCTTTGACTTCATACGAAATCTTTATCCCTATACAACCAGCCGAATTAGTTTATTTAAACACTGAGCTAACATAACATTGCGTATCGGAAGTGTATATATGTATTAATGATGTATTTTTGTTTTACGAAGCTCTCATCATGCGCCAGCCTTTTCCTTCTGATATTTTCTCGCCTCAGTGAAATAGAAGCTATTTGAGTGTGGGAATAGTTGTTTTCACTATTCACTAGGGTAGCGTGTTGCATTTCGGTATGCTTATACCCACGTATTAACCCACTCGGACACAGCTGATAACACTGATCAACCAGGTTACTTCTGTTTTAATCCTGAGCATTTCTCTGTGCACTTTATTCAGTCTATTTTTCAATGTTTAATTTGTGATGTTGTTATCAGCGGGGAACCACATAGAAAAATTATTTGTTTTTGAAAACCTTATAATGTAGTGTCTGGAGAAATGCAAAGGGATGAAGTTGCAACAGACTGAACTGTTAACTAATATTCTAGTGGAGTCCAACAAGTCGGGTATGGGGACAGATACTCATGTATGACAATGACTGGTGCTTGCTTTATATGTCGCAAATCAGCAGTTGATAGAATTGATGGGTCATTGGATTCCGTCCCACTTGCTTAAAGGTCAATTAGTTTGCATTGTAATCTGAAGTTCCTGAATTAGATCCCTGACGGGTATGTATTGATGAATAGTCCAAACAGGGACGAAACAGTTATTCAGTACTCCCTCGTTTTCAGTGGTTCCCTAACTGATATCAACCCGTGATCAAACTTGTAATATGCATCCTACTAACAGTAGAGAACTATATGGGAATGGAATATACTGACGATGAAGGAACATGACTTGCCACGTCTTTTAACATAAAAAGTTTGATAATCGATGGTAAATAAAATTCACATATAATAAAATGTTTCACGGCAGATGAACTAACTTATATATCATATGACAATCCAATGAATAGTTAGTGGTCATATAAAAATGATAAGAAATATACTGATTACCAGAGTAGAATAGATCCAAGCATTCTAATAAAGTTTTGTGGTGAAATTAAAGAATCGTCCACTTAAAAATGCAATCAACTAAATCTCGTTCCACTGTAGATTTATGGGCGGTACCTTAATCTTGCATAAGAATAAAATCAATACTGAGTTCTCCTCAAAACGTTCACTATGGCTCATCCACAAACTCAGTTCCCACATGGAGGAGAGAAAGACATTACTTTATCATTTCTTAATGTCCTGCTAACAAGAAGACCAGATGGCAGTTTTAAACGAAGTATTTTCCTGGAGAAGTCATAGGTTGACCAATACAACCACTTCAGATGGTGTTTTCCTTCTGCATGCAAACGAAATCTCATCAGTACTCTGATATTTCATGCTACAAATATCTGTATAGGTGCCCCTTCGGACGACGAAATAAGAAAAATTGGAAACTCATTTTATGAGAACAGATATCCAGAAAAATTTTTAGTTTCCATGTAAGGACAGATGAAGAAAAATGCCCACAAACAATACACAAGAAACGTATATAAATATGACTTTGTCGTCCAAAGGAGATGTAGTTGCTGAATTACTGAATTGGCCGTACTCAGAGGGCTTTATCCATGCGCGCACGTGAACATGTACCTGTATGGTTGAGTAAAGGAGTAACCAAGTGTGTAAATAGTGCAGTCTTAGCCCACCTGGTAGATACTGGACACCAGATAAAACTTGACCAGGCGTTCTCAGTTATTTACCGTGTTCCTAGTAATTTATCTAGAGGAGCTCGACTGCGTCTTCTATCAGTAGCTGAAGCGGTGGCAATTAATACCAGAAGACCATCTCTTTGCATACAGAAGAAGTATGTTCAACCATTATGTTTACCTTGGCCTACAATAAAGCCAACAAATCTTCCATTAACACTATAAATTCCTTTCACAATTTTCTTTTCTTCTTCTTCTATTCCTCTGTTTCATTGACAATCGTTTATTTTTCGACTTTTATGATTTCATGACCTTTCTTATGATTTTATTACCCTGCTATCGTATTTACAAAATCCTATTCATTCCACTTCATTATATTCATTATTATTATTTGACAATCATTCACCAATAGTGCATGTAATTTTACACCATATCATCGTTATTATTTTACAATCATTCTTACTGTCGTTATTTTCAACCTTGAACTTATGTCTAGTGTGCCCCATTCGTTGGTCTATTTTCATATTGTCTCACACACCCTGATTACACACACTCTCGAAACCTGTATTTCTGTTGACTATATGTATATATATACACACATCATTAAATTAAATTACTTCGTCTGATTTTGTCCCATGTTCTCATTGACCATGCATATTAAAAAACTATATGACTATTGTTCCATCCCATCTTATATTTGTTCCACAATACACTTTCTGATATGATTCTAATCTGCCTTTACTGGCTATTGTATGCTTAAATTAATGGATTTATAAATGTAGAGCCTGAAGAAGAATTTATTGAAAACAATTGTTAGCTCTAAATATTTTGTTCTGAATTACTAGCATCAAAACTCTGACAAATAATGGCTAAAATATTCTTTACGGCAACACTTCAAAATTCACTACTTGTTGCATAATTCCAATGCAGGTGAAACATAAGCTACTGAGTCTGGCCATTTCAATGTGTGTTTAAAAATTTAACCGCTCTTTTGGAAACAGTTACGTAGATAGAACCAAAATGAAAGCCCGCCGTCGCTTTGTTGAACATTGTTCAATGCTGTTAAGAAAAAGAATCGTGAAGTCAGTCAAGAGTTCTATGTTGGCACAACTAGTGCATACGGAGCACAAGATTGATAAATATTCAGCTTTTACAATTCTATACAAGATGCCTCCTCAGTTCTCTAGATTTTCACGTCTTCGATTGCTAAGTAAAGCTGAGACAGTTTCCATAATAAGTTTTCAATCCAATTTATGTGTTCAGAAAAAGTCTGTTTAATCCCTTCCCCTGCCCTCCCGACGGCCTTCACCCGCAATCTAGAATTATTATATTTTCCGGTGACACTAGTTGACTGCAAATATTATCTTTATTTTTACTGTTAACTTTATTATCAATAAATTACCGTGCTATAATTGCATATTATAATCATAGTTTCACATTTCTGAGTGTTCTTTTGACACTGATTATACTAACAACAAAAGCTTGTGCAAAAGAAATCAACTTAATGAAATACATTAAATTAAGACACCAGTATTCACATAATTAATAGGTTACAAAAAGAAAAACAGGTATAGCTCACGTGGTCAAGTTTAAAATCTGTTTTCTACTTACTGAATATATGTATGTGTTTATTTTTTTTCTTCAGATCGATGGTCCTCATAGTAATCCATTGATTTGTTCTTTTTGTTGTTGTTTAAACCAATCCCGATTGAAAGCACACGACTGTAAATCCATTTTAATTGGTTCAGAGGTGATCTCGAAATCTCAAGGCTAAAACATTGTTATTGTGAGAAGTTAAAATGTCATTCTCTCCTGCAAAAATAAACTCATTAAGTTTACATTCATTAGTTGTAAAGAAAAAAATTCCATTAATTTTTTTAAATGGCCGACAAAAGGTCGCAGGCTTCGTCTCCTCAGGCTGTATCGTATCTAGATGGATCCCATGCACCATATCCAAATGACCCTCCGGTACCATACCCTGTAGGCGTACCTCATCTGCCTTATTCAACAAATGACGGACAACAGTGGCAAGGTAAGATGAGTATACTATACAGATGCTGTCCTTTACTAATATTACTGCTATGATTATTACATAAGTACAGGAAAGTATATACATCACATTTTATGTCAACACGTTAGGTTTACACTACCGTAACTAGTTTTATTCCCTTTTAAACAAACGAAGTGTTTTGGGGCTTACCAGTAGTTTAACAGTAATTGACTGTGTCTATCAGTTACACGTTTGTCGGAACTGAAATATGAGTCGGACATTCCTTATGGGAATCTATGTACTACTAGTCAGATTCACTATAGAGGCACTCAATTTTATATCCCGGATACTAATTATACATATATATATATATATAAACAGGTTCCTTTTTATTTAAGTCTCTGTAGCTGGTGCGCATGTGGATTCTTGTTTTCATTCTGAAGCATTTAGCATGTCACCTATTTTTCAATGTTTGTCATTTGAAATATTTTCTTATTATTACTTGTTATAAGCTACCTGTCTGTCGGTTAAGTAAATGAGGATAACTTCTGGAACTCTTCTTAGGATGCGTAAAGTGATATTATACCTCGAATATTTTTATTTCTCTTAACGGCTTTCAGCGTATTTAAACGAATTGCTTGGCAAGGCTTAAAGTTAGGTATTTTACAGGTATTCATTATCTGTATCACTAAACAACATGAATACCTATAGATCGCGTGTGCTGATTGGATGGTTGTTGTCAGTACACTCAGTGACTTTTTTATTTGACACCCGGCTAATTAGCTGTGTACTTTAACTTCTGAACCTTGTTCAAAGTGGAATTTATGAGAACAGTGGGGAAAACATCACTACATAGTCACAAAAAGTCCTGTTGGGATGGCTGCTGAACTTGGTATGTAGATTGTAGTTATTTACTGGCCATCTGAGATTACTTTCTGTTTGCACCAGAAGCTATTCGAGGTAGTTCCACTAAGAACTTGGTAACGGTTGACTTAGGTTTGGGTTGTAAATAGACTGTGAGTTTCCTTAATGTTGCCGATGTCTTCAAGTTCAGGTAGCAGTAAGAAAGAAGCCATTCTGTTGTCTGACTACTTATAAAATCTGCTGTATCTGATTTATGTGATTTCTGTAGACAATGCTGATTTGTGATTTAACATTTAGGCAGTCAAACCACCACAGCCTCAGTCACTTATCATTTGGTTAGTCCTGGAATTATATAAGGTTGCAGAGAAATATAATTTAGTAGATTTAGGTTAACTAGTAGGTGCAGAGAACCATAAGACAAAGTTATGAAAACGTGTTATCCTATTAAGCCATGTAGAGACAGTCATATAGACACGATGCAATCTTGGTACAGTGGGTACTGAAAAATAATAATTCATGAATATTAGGAAAAAACGAAAAAAACAATTAGGTCTCGGTCATTATATAGTTATAATCCTTAGACTGTGGGAAAAAAACGCTACTCACAGTGCTGTTTTCTCAAGTACTTATGCATAGTCCATATTTTATAGCACTGATTGCAATGAATTCAATAGTTTGTAAGCTGTCAAATTGCATTCCCTGTGTCAGGCGTTTTGATGTTTCATAAATAAGTGAAAATTCACAATCGAAAATGTGAAGTACTGTCAGTATCTATAAAGTAAGAGTGAATAACACCCAAAAGTTTCCCTGATCCTTTCTTTTTTGAGTAACATCGCGAGATGTGATAAAGTTGTCAATAATAATTCCGAGACGACTGGTTCCATAAGAATAGATTAATCTGGCGGAGACATTCACATCAATTTTAGAAACACCCTATCCTCTTAGCCCGACTGTAAAGTTAAAAATGTTGTATAAGTTAATCTTAATGTATCTACAAAAATTATCTTATGCGGAGAGTGTTGAAGTTCTTCTGTGAAAGCGTTAAAGAGACCACATATTAAATTGACAAGAGTGTCTTCTCACTAAATGAAAATAGCCGGCTTATGTTGATATAAGAATAAAACTTGGGCACTGTGGTAGAATGTAATTCCATTATGGGTAAATTTTTATTTTTGACAGAGTCTCACAGTGTTATACAGTAATATTTACTGATGACGTTTCGAGCACGTCATCAGTAAATATTACTGTATAACACTGTGAGACTCTGCCAAAAATAAAAATTTACCCATAATGGAGCCGGCTTATGTGTTCATTTTGACGTATGGTTACTGCTGAAATAGACTGGATACCAACTATGTTTGGATATGATTATCAGATTTTGTAATTCTTTATCCCCTGTAGTACTTGGACATATTTTTCTAGTCTTTCAAAGTAAGCATGGTGAAACAATATTGTACGCGTTTGTTTGCTTTATGTTTCACAACTGTTTATGGTGAACACTGAACATAATTTTTTCCAAAATATTCATATCAAAAACTATGTAGTTGTGTAAACAGACTGCTTACATAACAACAAGTACAAATATGCCAGTTCCTTTCATCTTTAGAGTACAGTCTAAATTCCATTTCAGTCCTTAGAATTATTTCCACTATTATTCATCTCTATAATGTTTATTTTGCTTTATTCAACACAGTTTGGGTGTGTTTCTTCTCAAGAAATGCACAGATTTCTTGAAATCGCATTCTTTTTCTAAGCGTATCTTTTACCGTATTAAATAACACTATTCACAGAGTTAACATAATAAACCAGTAAAACTCCCTGACAGTTTTAACTTCGTTTCCCCTTTCAAATTCTAAAGGATTCAGCTAAAACCTTTCTGATCAGATTAACACACCAACTAAGCTTTATTTTCGTTTGATTGTTCCGCATTATAAAATAAATGAACGAATTATGTATTATGTACTTATTGTCATGAGCTGTAAATCCATAAGGTAAAGAATGTTGCAGAAAAATCAAAGTCATGTGTGTTTTGATTGATATGAAATTAAGAATATAGAGAGAAGTTCCGTGAAGTACCTGTCTATGTCTATGCGCTTTATCATCCTATAAATTAACAAATCTCCATGAATACACAAAAGATGTACATAATTTGTCACTGATGGTAAGTGAACAGAAATAACAAATAACAGTATGGATCTGTGATCTAATTCTTGATAAATCTTGATTTTCAACGGACTTTAATAGTCAAACGCTTGTTGAAAATGCCTCAGGCATCATAATTAAAGACCTGTTTATTTCAAGACATAATAAGTCTGTATTAGGGATCTATAACGAATTCTTAGTTGTTTGAAAAAAATATCTTTGAACACTGATTTTTGTAGTTGTTGTGATGGCTGATAATTGAGTGTGAAGTGAAAATTTCCTTTACAGAAGGATTTGAAACAGCCGCTTTCAGATAATTTACTCAAACTATTAATTCAAGTTGTACAACAAGTGAAGTTTTAATTTCACTTTCGAATACTGAATAAATGTTATTTGACTGAATGCCTTAATTATCAACTTAGAACTTTATACGGAAATGCATCAGCTGAAGTTTTTTAATTTAAAAGACATTAAGTGAAGCAGAAAAACAGAACCCTAATGATACGACTTTCTACAGAAACCGGTATCTATAAGAGAATATATAATGAAGTCGGTTCAAACAGGAAAGCATTGTACAGTATATTAAGTGAAGAACAGTTTATATACATGCGTCGGTAGCACAGCGGTAGAATGCTCGCCAACTACGCTTGTGGTTCGCGGTTTGATACCTGGACGACGCACTAATTTACCTCGCTAAGCCAGTAGTAAGAGTGCTAGAGAGGAAAGGTTGGGCATGAGGTTAGCAACCCCATCCTGTAAAAATAAACACCACTGCTACCGAGACTTCGAAGCTGTAGCTTAGATCCCTATGTTCCGCTGGGAATGTAAAGGAATTTAAAAAAAAGATACTATCTGTGTGACACACGGAATAACTAAGTGAAATTAGATGATGTTCAAAATTAGTAGAATGATGAGAAGTGAATACATCTGAGCTCCATTGGACAACTTCAAGGTATGCCGATAAGATTCTTAAATTATTAACTTTTGGCTTCCTAAATACTTTCAGTCAAGCAATCTACAGCTTTCTAGGTATCTCCGACTACCAATTAAAAACATCATCGACTGATGTTTTGGTCCTATCACTTCTACCTCTTCTCCAAACTAATTATGGTATAATTTTTCCGTGCATATGGCTCACTGCTCCACAAGACACATATAATTTTTTTGGTAATCAGACGTGAGTAATGGAAATAGATAATACACATTTGGGGATGTCAGACGAACCTTTGTATTTGTGCTGAAATTTCACCAGTGATGAGTTTACTGGGGGTTGCTACAACTCCAGAAACAAGTCAAGTTTTATGTTACCAGCCTGATTTCTATAAAATCCAAACCATAAATATGTTTCAGTGTACGTAATAACTAACGGTGAAAATCCGAAAAGGACAGCTCTCTCTCTCTTCCTACTTATAACGATACCATAACATCAGAGTGACTTATTAGTCAAAAGAATTCCATAGATATGCACGGCAAGTCCATTCTGAACTTGAATTTCATAACTGGTTATGTATGTGACATTTTATATTTCTGTAATCAATTTGTACATGAATCCAGTTAACATTCACTTAGTACTACTTTATTGATAATAGAACACATAAATCGCAGCTGGAGTTTGGGTTGCAGCTCTTATTTCATCTCCTAATGACTGTAAAAGTAAATCTAATGAAAAAATATATGATCAGATATAACTTTTATGAATTAGTTCACACTTTGATGATTACTGCTATTACTGACAGTTTATGAGTTTTGTTTAAAACCAACACAGAAAATTTTTAATGTTTGTAAGCCAGTGGTTCGCCTCATCACCTCGTCGTTGCTAGGATGAAGTATATAGTTGCACTGAAAACACTAAAAATGGTGGGAAAAATTCCCACTCAGTATAATAAATACTAATGAAAAAGATCTGAAGACTTGACCCTGATTGTTTTGTAGGCCTGTAAACATTTCACAGATTTGGTGTCAGTGTGCACTCCATCGTTCACCGGGACAAATTTGTCAGTCTGTAAAAATAGTCCATGCAAATAAAATGTCACATATCAGGTCACCGAGAGGGGCAATATCAACACAAATGAATACAATCATATGGAAATCTACTAGAAGAACCAATCAAGGTGAAGATCACCATGTCAGACCAATGTTTCATCCACGAAGGATTCACAATGCTCACTTCGCATTGAAGTTAACACATCAGATGCTGACCAGAAAAGAAATGAAAACTCCAGAGAACGTAACAACACCAAGAACATCCAGCTAAGCTTCAAATCTTCTGCACTACTTCAAAATCTTACGACCGACTAAGGCTTCCTTCTGTTAAAAATCTTAAAAGACCTTACCTAGTTTTTATCATTTCCTCTTTTTCCTGTTCTGTGGAGAAAGACAGAAAAGTTATTGAACAGCAAACTTTTTCCGTATTATTTTAATTATTATATTTGACTGACTGATTCGAACTCACTTAGTTGACTTCAAATCGCCTTCAGTATCACATAATTTTTTCCTGTATGTTGGCGGCCAGTCAGCATTTCTGTTGTTAAGCCAACTGGGAAAGCTTCTCAAATTTACTTCTAAGTAGAATAAAAAGTGTATTTTCTAATTTTATTAGTCCTGTGTATATTTTAGGCTGTCTTTTGCTGAAGAGAGGCCCAAAGAATAGAAGACGTGTACATTTCATACTGCAATTTTGTTTATCCTTTCACGATGTTTTCATCTGAAACGGAATAGGCCACTGATATAAGATAAATAGGTTGAGGTGATCACAAGAGTTTATTAGTCTGTGAAATTTCCAAAGACTCAGATATTCTCATACATCTGGAGGTAGAGGTTTAGATTAGAGTGTTTTTATTTTTGATGCTGCGGAGGACTTATGAATAACATCGGTAAAGAGTTGATAGCGATGCTGTTCAGAACTGTATTTGATATAACTGTATAAGTAATACCTTTAAAACTACATATGGATAATATAACTTCAAGCAACTAAGCATTATTACCTTAGATTTCAATACATAAACTATCTAATGACGTTCATAGGATAATTTAGAATCATATTAACTTTCCTGCCAGTAGATATTCTGCATCAGAAGCAATTAATATTGAAACTTCATGAAACATGATGACTTGGCGTAACCGTGATGATTTCAATGAAATGATGATGTGCTTTGCAAATTGGTCTCTTAGCTCAAGTCACAGGATCATAGGTTGGATACCATCCACGGTCCAGATTTTTATTTAAACTATGGAGTCAAAAGCAGTAATTTAAATTTAAATAGTATGGGTTCGGTTGGCTTCATCTTCAAATATCTGTGCATTTGAGAAAAATAGAATGCATATGAAGCAAATGACGATGATAATCGATTTTCGAAAAGCTTATCATACGGTGTCTGTCACTAGATTCCCTGTGTCTCTATGCAGCACTTTGTGTTTTGTATTGTTAAAATAGTGAAAAGTGGAAAATTAGGAGGCTACTTTTTGGGGAATGAATAAGGTTTCCACGATCACTTCAAACTATTCAGCTTTTTATCCACCGGTGATAAAACATTGTAACTTAGTTGTTGCCCCAAGGAAAACAAACTAATAAACACAAAATACCACATTTATGATTAGTTGGGTGTTCATCTCATTCTAAAAATTTAAAAAAAATTGAGAGATAACTAGGAAAATCTGATTTTCAAATTAAAACACTGATTCAAAAATTAGTGGGAAATAATTTTTGAAGTGATTACAGTCCTCTTAGAATTAATGATCTATGTAGTCATCAGGACATTGGACTTTGGAACAGTAACGAACTTTCTTTATAATTTTCAAGTGCTCGAAATGTAGCTATTCGACTGTGTTCCAGGTAAGTTTCATCTCTGATTGACATCATTTAGAGAACCATTAAAAACCAGGATACAAACGACCGCATACTTATTCTTTGATAGTTAATTGTTGAAATGTGTTGACAGACTGATTACTCGTCTTCTCCGAATGAATTAATCACCTAGTTTTTGTTTTAAATTACTTAAAACTCCAAATCCCATTTTTCAACGACTTCATTTTAAATGAAATTTACAAAAAGTAACGGTATAGTGTAGATTATTATTATTTGTGTAAATTAACTGTCCTAATGTTATTTCACCGTTGATCGATTTACTATGGGGAAGTAATTGAAAACTTTGTGCTACAAGTCGAAAGAGGCAAAAAAGGCAGTGTGATAATTACAACAAATTTCTTTGATGTGGTTACTGCAATATTAGAAATAGCGATATAATTTTCTAAAACTAATAGAACAAATAAAATGAGCAAAGATTACCTATCAGAGATGGAACAGTGGAGTGTTTTTTCGTCTAATTTTTTTTCTATTTGCAGCTGGAGCGGTACAGTATCCATATGCGAACTATAACACCAATCCTCATCACAACAACTCCGATGATATCGGTGGTGGGACAGGAGGAGGAGGAGAAAGATACATGGAAGATCAGTTTATTTCATCTAAATTTAGCGACAAAAATATCCGTCGTGCATTTATTCGTAAGGTGACTTAATTTTATTGTTTTCATTCCTACACTCTTTAAAGTATCGAAAACATTAATATCGTTTGAAAATAAATTATTCTATGACATTTAGTGGATAGGTCATTTTTAAATCTTATCGGCGTCTCACCTACTTTTCCTTAATAATATCCATTCATATGGCTAAAGAGGAAACTCATAACTCCATAAGAAAGGTGTAAAATTAATGTTATTTAGCGATTGTGTTTGGTTGGTTACGCATTCGCACCATCAGATGAGTTATCAGTTTCATATTCATGGTGTTTTAAATGATAAGTCCATATGTATAAATGGATTAATAAATATTCGTCGACTACCATGAAACAGATAGGAATATCTAGAAAGCTGTTCAGGTCAAAGCATTTATGTTCGAGGACTTCTGTGTGTAATTCAGTTGAAATTGGAGGAAATAAATAGAAACAGGTAAGTGTGATGAAATTAGGTATTGGAGTCTAACAAAGAGATTATATGGGATTGAATGAGTTACCTGCTCATTGGTTGTTAATGTTGTACCACAGTAGCTGATACCGATGAAGACAAAAGTGATTCATTTAGGCACTTTAATTTGTTACTTGTGTTTATCGTAGCCAAATCCATGCAAGCCGCACTCTTGATTGCTGGTATTCGTCTACAGACATTATTTTTAAATGAGGAAAGGAATAATATTCACTCTTTGGTAGATATCAGTGTTCTTTACTGATTCAGTCAAAGATATTTATGCCTGTTGAAGTTATACAGAACTATTACTTGGATTGTCAGTTTAATTAACATTTCGAAGGCAGGAACCCCTGGGCCTAATTCTCCTGCTTACTGTCACTCATCAGTAAGGCCTACATACAACCTCGGAGACAATGTCTTCTTTGAGGTATTTAATATTTTCTGAGTGTGCATTGTGAATCAAAGTCTCGTAGCTTGATAACCACTTCACAAACTTGGCTGGTAAAATTTTGGTAGGCAGTAACATTAAAGACTGGACAGATAACACTTGTGATTGCCAAATGAACAGTCAATTTTTCGAGTATTTATGATATCCCTATAGAAAACGAACAATCCACTGTTGATTCAACAAGTTTTCGGCAATGAATATTCAGCCAAATAAAATCTGTTGGTCAATATCACTGATCAGATTAGTGACTTATTAGGATTAAAGAAACATTGCAGTTGTTGCTGATTTTCTTCGAGAGAACTGAAACTGTACCTTGTACATCAGTCATCGGGATATTCGTGAAGGCAGAACCACAGAAGTCTTGTATTCCCATATCCATCGCTGTATTTTTCACAGTTATACCACAGTGAAACAAGATAAAACAGTCAAAACACAACAAGCAAGTTAAATGTAGCATAAGTCTAGCTGTAATGTTCCAAAAAGGCTGGGAACCTAATCATTTCTCATTAATAATAATACTTCCACTGCACAAACACCCATGAAATCTGATATAAGTTATTATTAATTTTATTTTCTAAAATGCGAAATTTGATGGGTTTATTCGTTTGATGTATACAGAAATATTTTAATATTTGTGATAGTTTTATTTTAAACCTAGCTTTGAACGTTAGTATGAGCTCCATCTCTAAGGTGTATATCATTGCATTCGAATATCAAGTAACTTAGCACATTCATGGTTAAAGTCCACCCGTTTAAATTTGTTAAAATTTTCTTTTCTGCTTCAAATCTAGGTATACGTTACACTTAGCATCCAGTTGTCGTTCACACTTGCTATTGTCTGCATTTTCGTACTTGTGTAAGTATGCATATTGTATTCGCAGTAATCGATCTTCTATAGCCAACCTGTAAGGAACTGGGTCCGTAGAAATGCCTGGTTCTACTATTTAGCCTAGTAAGTTTATAAGTATGTGTTTTATGTGTGAAATATTTACCTGAAGATTAGTATGCGAAAATTTTTTATCAATACAAAACTATATGCGGAAATTTTAAAAATGACAGTTATGTTAGACAACAACTTTTATGGAATTGTGACATCACCTGTAGTAGAAGCCCCGAAAGCTAGAGATCACTCGGCTATGTCACACTTTGAAAAAACACAATCCAGAGTGAAAAGCATTAGACTGATCATAATACAGTGTGATTTAAAATGATATAAACTACTAATTGATGGAATAAATGGAGCGTCAACCTTTGGAATATAACATATTAGTCCCATTATAAACTGCTTTCCGTGCAATTCCATTGGCAGATCTTTAGTGACCAGAAAATAGCAGTATTTTCTGTTAAACAGTAATATCAGACAGTACAGCTAATATCACTTGCTACTACAAAGTTTCAGTGACCTATAGATAGATAGTATTTCCGCTGCTTTTTGCATAAACTTTGTGCGATATACCTAAACATTTTTTTCTTCTTCTGCATTTCTTTTCTATGCAGTGCAATATTCTTCGTCACATATCTGGTGCTTGGTTGTATTGTAAGTGTACGCAGAAAATTCCCCGGAAATTACATATGCTTATCTGTATTTGTAAGTTCTGTCAATTGGTACACCTAATGTTGTTTCATTTCGTTTCTTTTTTCTCTTTTAACTTGAGAAATGTGAAACGTAAGCTCATGGTTTGTTCTGAGATGTTGATCGGGAGAAATGAGATATCACATCCTGTAGAAACTTGATACGGTGAATGAATCAAAAGCTGATGGTTATTTGACTACTAATATCTATTTGACATCCAAAAGTTTCGGTTTACAGAGATTTGATTGGTTTTAGGTCAAATCACTGATGAACATCAGTTAGAGAAAACTACTGAAAACCAGGGCGTGCTGAGCGATTGTTTTGTCCTCGTTTGAGGCAGGATCAAATGGTCCGTGAATTCTAACTGCTGTCAATTCGCGGTTTATAGAGTCACCGTCAACCAGCGTCATTGGCGAATATTTGACTTCACAACTGATCTAGTGGATCCCCCTAAGATGAAAAAGCTGTTCAATTCTCTCTGGTTTTCAATGGTTCTCAACCTGGTGTTAATTCGTTGTATCACTCGGTAACTTTTTTTACAAGACATTTCTTAATTAAATAACTAATCGCTCAATTTGATCAAATGAGAAATGTCACGCTCGATAATATAAAACTCTATTCTAGATTGATATATTCCTGGATATTGAGAATCTGGGATACAGATGCCTGACTGGAATGAAGTAAGAAGAAATTAATACACCATGCATACCTATGGTGCGGGAGAAAACCAATCCCCGAGTGATTGAGATGTCGTCTAAATTTAGTCGTCATCACGACACGTGAAAACTCCGTTTGCCAAATTGAGACCATAAAATATTGAGTAATGAATAAATAAATACTACTCAGTAGACAGTGTTTATCGATGGTTCAAGAATAGAATGCCCTCAGTAATGCAAAATCAAAATATCTAGTTTCGATTCCTGACCGACGCACTCCTAAACCTTGCCTAATTTACCAGCCAGAAGTAAGCCCAGAAAAGAGGGAAGGTTGATCTTAAGGTTAACAAACTGGTCGAAAACACAACATCACTGCCACTGAAACTTCAAACCTTAAAGCTCTCTATACTGCCAGGGATGCAAAGAATGAATAAACTCAACAGAAATTAGATAATGAGACTTATCTGTTATGTGAGATTCATTGCAGGTATCTGAGTCTTCAGATCTATGTCACTGAAAGTGAGTTTAAATCTTAAAACGACTGACTGAATATTTAGACAGATCAACCTAAGCTGCAAAACTAAGGTTAGCCTAGATAGCATTCTTAGTAAGATATATAAACGTCATAATTCGAAAAAATATAAGTTTCGTGGTGTTGCAGAAAGACCCAAATGAAGTCGACAGTCGAATCCCTTTGATTAATAAATTTTCTTCAGTCCTACTGAGAAGTCTATTTCTACCAGAAGAATATTTAATATTTTAATATTTTTGATTACAGCTTGATGCCACACCGTATTTTCAGCACAAGTATAGCATTTTCAGCATGGATATCGGTAGCCCAAATTTTGCAGGCCGACCATAGATATCGGGTGTGTGTCGGCAGGGGATCGAACCCCGAACCATGTGCATGGTCGGCGAGAGTCCTAACCACTGTGCCACCGACGCACGATAGAATTCACAAAATTGTTTTCAATATTTTGATTCCTGACTATGCCAATAGCTTTATCTGCATTGACAGATTATTACCGCCGAAGTTATTTGTTAGTTTGCTTACTAAAATAACATCTAAATTTTTAAAAAGTGATGGAAGAATATAGACAATTTTTGTTCAACTTTAGTAATTTTCTTTGTTTGTTTGGTTGTTTTGTCTTTATATTATCGATCTGTATGTAAACTATATGCAAACAACTTGATTCTACGACATAAAGTTTTTACTAATGTTTCAAACTGTTTAGCCCCACAGTAATTCAACTGAAATACACAGGAGCATAAACACTGTTCAAATCCATATTTGGCATGGACTGAATTGTTCTTTTTTACTTAATAAGCCTTTTTATGTCGCTTTCATTACCAATGAATCATCATTTGAATACATAAGTGTCCATCCTTATGTTAAGCAACAAATATTTCTCACCATTCTTAGTTTGTGATTAAGTCTCATCTGAAAATCAGTTACTTCGGGTTTGATGAAGTTTAAGTAACTTTATTTGCATCTTGATTGATTTCTGAAACAATTGTGTGAAAACGTGTGGGCAGACTTGGAGCCAGGTGAAGACTCTAGCAGAGAACCGAACGCAATGGAGACGCACGGCTGAAGCCCTACGTTCCTCTGGGAATTAAAGGAAACAATAATAATAATAATATACCATTTGCAATTAAAAGTGTTCTCTGAGCTGGTTGGTTTAGTCGCGAAGCTTTCGTCGTCCTTCCGGACAACATCTTCAGCGCCATATTTAGCCCAAAGTGAAATGATTTAAATTTCTTCATGCGTGATGCAAATATGGCGCTGAAGATGTTGCCCGGAAGGACGATGAAAGCTTCGCGACTAAACCAACCAGCTCAGAGAACACTTTTAATTGCAAATCATCCACCTGAGCTACAAATCTTCTCTATTATTTCAATAATATACCATCTCCTGATAGTTTTAAAGAGAATTCTATTCTATTCTGTGTTATTATTTGTTCATTTGTTGCATTCAGAGTGAGACATATGCATCTTCATTGCATTTAGTTCTGTTTGATCAGTTTCAAATGACCGAGTAAATGCCCACAAACTTTTACTTTCTCTTCTTCTTCTTTACATGTTCTCTTCTCCATATCACGTTTTGTTCTATTGATCCATATCCAATATCTTTCAATTTGTATTTATATTTTCTCCTTTTCATTCTATTTTAATAACCCATAGACATTCGCATTATCATATATGGCTGGTGCGATTGGTGCATTCTATGGCGCTGAAGCAGCTTTAATCGCTGTAGTGCTTACATTTGCTCTATGCATCTGCATAACATTATTCGCAATGCAAACACGTATTGATTTTACAATGTGCTCTGGCATGTTATTTGTATTTGGATGCGTCGTCATGCTAACTGGAATTGTGTGCATGATTGTATTTTTTGCCGCTGGACCAAATAAGGTAATCACTTCAATATTTCTTTAGGAATATACAAGTTTTTTTTGAAATTATATGTTTAAATTAGTGCTGAGTGAGCTGTTGAACATGGTTGTATTGCTCAGTATTAATATTTTGCTGTTAAAAATATTAAATTAAATTTAGGCATTTTCCACTTAATTGAATTTTAGATTTTTCCCGTCGATTGATTGGACCGAAGTGCTCAGTCTCAGGTTGACATGTCGGCTTCCTATGCAGATGCTTCGACGATGTCTGGGCAATTAATTAGTATTTAATTGGTAGATGGTGACTAGCAGTGGAATCCAGGATGCGCATTTTGTCCTATTTGGGACTCGTCACCTGGATGTACCTGCATTTCTCAGTGAGTGATGATGTTCCCACCGAGGCTCGAACCCAGTGCCCATAGTTTCCAACGCCAAAGCGTTATCCACTTGACCAATGTGGTCTAGGATGGAGTTTCCTGGAGTTCTAGTGAGAAGTCGTGACCAGTGGGGTCTATCTAGTCACGTGTGAGGATGGAGGTTTCACCGACGACATTGCTTAGGGTGTCGCTAAATCACGAATTAATAGAAGTTAGAATTCATTAACCATTGAATCGGGTCACAGTGTTTGAATGGTATACGAGCTTGCCTTGTAACCGAAAGGTCCTGGGTTCGAACCCTGGTGGTGGGTGCATACTGCCGATGATTCCCAAACTAGGATGAAACAGCAGCTGTCCAGTACTCTCTCGTTTTCAATGGTTCTCTAACTGATATCAGTCCCTGATCAACTCGTAAAAAATGAATAAGAATTATGTTTACAAAATACTCATGTCTAATCACATTTATATAACTGTGTTCAACAAAATGTTTTGTTTGGACAAGCACATGTTATTCACCGATAGGTAACCCTTTTCTCTTAATAAAAACTGAAGTTGACATTAAAGAATATTAGTTTCGCTTGAAACACCTTAAAAATAAGCATGTTCATGCATGCTATGATGATGAAAATTTTTAGTGATTTCCATTAAGTGAAAGGCAGCAATTACTAATAACATTAATCGCTTTATTATAAACAATAATAACTATACAGAATGTAATTTTCAGCGTAGATGCACATCAGCTGCTTGATAAATATCCCGATTGGCCCATATCATCTAATAACCTAAACGGTGGGTTTGTTCTACTTTTAGACTCATCAGTAGTATTCGTTGAACTTCGAATGTGAATCGTAGTAAAGAATGTCCAGATAATGTAGCAAGTACTTTCAGAATAGGACTGAAAATTTGTCCTGTGCTCTTCAGTATTCACTTGGTTTATTGACTGATTTTGACTTACCATAGTGATTGTTTGTAAATACTCTTATTATTGGCATTTCTTTAATGTGAACTCACTTTTCATTTTAGGTTTTGCAAGGGGTGTATGGCGGTTTAGTTACACTACTGTTCGGACTAGTGAGTTGCTTTTTAAAATCATCAGATGCTTATGTTGACATTTATTAGTTTTGTAAACATGTTGTGTCGAACTTCAGCTTACCCACAGTGATGAATAACTTCTTCCTCTGAAACTTAAGCTAGCTTTAATAATTCCTATAGTTTAGAGGTTAATTCGTCTTCTTTGTCATAATAAGAATCAGCTTAATGGTCTTATATTTTAGCTGTGACTAATTAATCTAACTTCATACAGCATAGTGATTGATGTCAGCTGTCAATAAAAGTAAGTTTCCAAGTGTTGGTTTGTAGGGGTTTGATTGGTTACAGGAATTCATCATGAGCTGACATTAATAAGAGAACCATTAGAAAACCTGAGAGTACTGGACAGCTGTTTCTTCCTAGTTTGGGACTCAAACTATTTGGAACTCCATACAATAAGTTCCCTTGTCGAATCTGAACAACGCAACAAGAATAAGTATGCCTTACTCAAGGCATGTAGATGTGTGTTTGTGATGATACTCATCATACAAAAATACTGATACAGAAGTTCGAAAGTTCCTATTCAAACAACAAGTTCTCAGTGGAACAGGAGGTAAATAATCAACTACACTCACGTGACTTATGCATGAAGAGAAGAGAAAACCAAACAACAGAAAGCAGCATTTACCAAAACACAACCTGGAGCAGCTAAGACCTAAATTTCAACGACTTCTATTCTTTGAGCTACAAGAGAGGTTAGAACACCAGACGAGAGAGAACAGAAAGGCTTTGCTGCAAAGAAACAGTAGAAATAGAAATCTATCTCATCAATGGATTCTTAAGGAACAATAAATATCCTGAACAATTCTTAAAGAAGTACAGTAAACGCAACGTGTGGGAGGCAGAAAAACAAGTGTTCCTTACATTAAGATTTAAAGGTGGTGAAACTGAAGGGAGGTTTGCCAATCAAATACAACGACCTATCCGGCCGCCAAACTGTTCCCCTTATATCAAACAATCTGTTCGGCTACATGGTCCAAACTTGACCAAATTCCGGCTCTCGTTGACTCCAACTGTATTTATGGTTTCACATGTACATTTGGTAGCAAGTACGTAGGAAGATTGGAAAGACAGTTGTCTACAATGATTGTTGGACATATGCCCAAGAGTCTACGTCTTAGAATTAAGAATCATTTAACAGTGCCATAGTTGGGCACCTGGCTGATACAGTACACACTATCAACTTAATAGAATCTTTTAAGGTGGTGAGAGGCAAAGTACTTCACGGCTGCTTCAGATTTGAAGAGCGGAATCCCTATGATGCATACAAAAAGAGACTGTTACTAACTTATTGCCACGCTGACAATTACTAACGCTTTCACCTTGTCGAAATTTCATCTCATTCTTATGATATAACTTGATAACTGCAGTCACCTGTTTCCTTACTATTTCTCAGTATCTTTGTGTCCTTGACCTATTTCATTGCGGTTGGATAGCTTTCGTGCGTGTCTAAATAGTTGTCTCCACCTATGCGTGAATTACCTTTTAATTCCGGAACCTTCTTCCCTGTACAAAATATAACGTCTCTGTTTTATTTGTATTTGATTATTCAAACTTCTTGCATAGTTTGTACCTCGTCTCCATTTTCGTCATGTTATTTTACTCTTATAAAATGAACTGGTCATTCAGTTAAAGTATAATTAAATTATTTCACATTCACTGGTTATGTAGTTTATCATTCAGACTGCATGTGGCTGATGAGAATAAAATGAAATAAAAAGAATTCATCTTATCCCGCAAAACTTGTTCTTATTTGACAAGGCTTCCAGCTATTCATTCTGAAACTGAAAATAAACAGATTCACCAAAAAACTACATTTCTTTGTTACCTGTCACTAATAAATCAGAAATATTTAGCCAGCCATGCTAGATGTTGAGTGCAAGGTAAAAATATCTTCTGAAATGAAGACAGTTTTAAGCTACTCATTTGTCATCAACTGCGACAAATATGCAAGTACTCTTCTTTCAGTCTTATTATTATTCCCTCTGGTTCCAAGTGAAACATAGGGCTTCATCAACACATCTCCACATTCTGCTATTCTCTGCCATCCTCTTCAGCTCTGTCTACGACTGCCCATAATCTTTCATCTCCTCCTCCCCACACGATCCCCTCCATGTCACTCTCGTACAGACGACCCACTCATTGCTTCTCATCGGGATTACTCTCGAGCGGTTGCCTGAATTATACGCGATTTCTTTCGACTGCCTCCTCAACGTATGCCCGATCCATCTCCATTTTCTCCTACATATTTGCTGAGCAATAAGCTCTTGGTTGGTTTACTGCAAGAGATTTTTGCTGTTGATTCTTTCTGGCCAGCCATTTGATCTTCAGTATGGAGCGAAGGCAGCTGTTGACAATCTGAAAACAGATAGTTATCTAAAAAGAGTTTCTCACACATGTGTTTTACTTCTTTTCCAAGTGACACTTTATCATTCACAAAGAATGAATTATTCTATAGCGTTTTTATCGCGCACATATAGCATGCTTATGCATACTGGTGTGGCCATTTGATAAAGATACTTTGAGTATTAAGAATCAGTAATTTGTTTCTGAGTAGCAGTTTAATGAATGAACACTTTTATGACCCATTGAATAAACTGCATTCACATCTTATAGTTAACAACTGCAAATCCTTATTCCGAAAACAACATCATATGCTTTTCCTTGTACTTCAAACTTGCAATTAATACGTAAGAGAAATACACAAAATATGTCCAAGATCGGTTGGAGAGTTGTCTTTTCAAAAATGGAATGAAATACACTAAGTGTGGGGAAAGATACTATGTGTGTATTGAAACCTGAAGCAATGAATAAACATTTTTGCTATTTTCCTGTAGTATTCCAAGTGATTAAAAATATTCAGTTTTCTACGCTGAGTGTTTCAACCATATACACAGAAGCAGCACCTAATAATCATTCTGAAAGTTTCATCCTCCTATACGTCATGTAACATTGTAAACAGTCTCATCTCTCCTGATATATTTTTTCGCAACATAACGTTCTCAAATAACTTTGACTTACATCATGATATTTATCTTTTGAATGATATTCACTACTAAGAATACACCCTTATTCATATTGTCAACAATGATTTCTGTTGATGGATATTGCAGAGATCTACCAGAGTCACATTGAAATAAACTCTTTGAAAATCGAATGCAGGCTTTTATTTTGCTTGCGTCAAGCGAAATAATTGATCAAACCAATAGATCACGTTGACATGATTTAAAGTGAGACTAATCAATGCAAATTTATTGATTCACAAAAATGAAGTGTGAATAAAATATGTAGGTTACTTGAGCTTGACTAATTACTATCAAATCACTTGGCATTTTCACATTAAATAAAAGTAATTTAACATGGAATAATAACAAAAGTCAACCACAGTTACAATGAAAGGATAAGGAGGTCATGACAACAAGTGCTGAGAATCAGAGAGGTAGTGACACATATTTAAGAAAAGACCTTATTTTCCACCACAAATGCATTTATAAACACTGGAACCAGAAAGTCATGTGTTGGAGAAAAGGGATAAAAGATAGATTCTACACGTAGCATTTAATAAATTTGGTAGGCAACGGCTTTTATGCTTCACTTCTAACTTTCGACTTCTGTTCAACGTAAAGGCTAATTTAGGAAATTTTGTGGGAAATAAGCTGACATTAATGTTGTTTTGAAAATATACCGAAATCAGTCAATACAGCACTGGAAACCACGAAACACTGAAGAAATAATTTGTTGTAGCTTGTAAAACTTGACTAATTATGCATCCATACATACGTAACTCTTCAGCATCTATGAATAAATTGCTTTCTAATTACTATGTAAGATTTATTATAACGAGTTTTAAAATAAGTTACATATGTTGTATAGAAAACGGGATTGTGAAGTGATAATATCATAACAGATCTAGGATACATTATGCTATGGGGGTTTATTGAAGACTTTTAGGTTATTCGTTTTGTCTTTATTATCACTTGTCAGCATACTTTTATTTTGAAGAAATTAATGCCGTTTAGTAGAATGAAACAAATATTACTTCAACATTCATTGTCAACGTTCCCAGCAGGGCTTTCTACCATTTGTTTGTAAACGCCTTACATCTTTTCAGAGTGTGATGTGATGTCAGTCATACTGCAAGCTTGATAGATAGAATCTGATTAGCATTAAGAACAAAAAAACACGAACAATTAGACTGACATCTTCAGACTAGTCAGGTCTGAAAGTAAAGAGTAAAATATACTAATAAAAAAGTATACATTTCATCTATTATGGAAATAAGTATTTTAAATTTGAACAATTTAAAAGTTTATCAGCTGCTGCGAGGTAATCGAATCCATATGAAGTTTCAGGTAAACACATATGCTCTCGTTAAAATTCTATAACTGATCTACAGAAAATCGGTGCATTTTAAAGTGAAATCAGATGACAGGACAGTTTCACATACCTTCCATTTGATGGTAATAATTTTAGATAAGCGGAACAAATCTGTCACTGAACACCAGACCAATGATTGCTTTATGACACTCATATTCATAACTGTGTTCTACTGTAAATAAAGTGAATGGATTGAACTACTGTAAAAAGATTCAAATACCGCTTAACTTCCAGTGATTATCTGACTGAAGAAAATTCTGGATCATATCCATCAGGAAATAAATTAGTTAGTTACTTATTATTCGAGGTATATCGTGTAATCATTTAGTTATAGATATTTCTTGTTTTCTGGACTGAAGTTGGTAACGGAATCATTACTCAATATTTTGAAGGTTTTTTCAAAGTCAGTTAGAAAGAAATTTGCTTTGTTTTCGTTAATTTGCCTAATATTTTTGTCTCACAACTACTCATAACTGATAGTTTACCTTTTAACTGAATGTTTCCTTTCAATGTTTAATGCTCTGTATAGTACTTGGCTTACGATACGCAACAAATAATGGGTGGAAGACAATTTGAACTTGAGCCGGAAGAGTATATATTTGGTGCTATGCAACTTTATGTAGATGTTGTGTTTATGTTTATGGCTATAGCTGGTATAGCAAATGCCGCTTCATGAATGATCTACGCATAGTGAACTGTTTAGCAATAAAATTTCTGGTGAAAAAATTATCATTCTTATTCATATAAGATTAATTTTATTGACTTCTCACATTTCAAATTACAGACATTAGTGACACATTAACGCATAAATGGTGTTTCATTGATCTGAAAACGAAAGCAGACATAAAGAGAAAGACAGAAAACTAAGATCATCTTTGTAAATTTATTTGTTTAACAGAAGTAATGATTATTGTGCTTCATTTTGATTTATTTGTGGTTATCTGAATAAATATAATTTGCATACATTAGGAGGTATTTATGAATACAAGCCTAATATTCTATACAGTACTTTTATAATATACTCCGAAATAACGCTACAGAAACATACAGAAACACTGACTGACTTCAAATAGTGCTGAAAATCCGAAAACGGTCTTAAAAACTTCGATAAGAGATAAAATAATTAATGATCAAATCCATTCTATGCATTACATCAACGCAAGTGATGGACACAATAAATCACCAAATGAGTCATACATGAAAAAAGCAGACAGAAATGAATCTTTCGGAATGTCAAATACGTGTGAAATGTAATTGCTGACTACCTTATATTCACACTTTCTGCATCATGTTCCGTTTTTTTGCAAAATGTGTGACAATATATTTCCAGTTATAATCTATACACTCTTGCCTCCCCTGCAGCGGTGATTTATCTTTCGTATCTGTTATACCATGATGAATGACTTTAATGAGTGATGGCTTGTTCACTGAGCATTAAATAAACAGGAGAAATCAGCGGTTGTTGATTTGCAACTAAGGTGTGGAAAGCTTTACTTCAGTCCCTCTTTTATCCACTAGGTCTATTAGCAAAAAATCTGACGCGATCGTTTTCGCAAAAGGTGACATCTTTCATATAATTTATTTCCTGCAGAATTTATTAATTCTCTTGCTGAATAATGAGACATTATTGTTCTACACGATGCAGATTTATCGTTAGCAGGAAAAAAAATGCAAATACATTACACTGTCTATCATTTAAACCCTTGAAATCGTTATCTATTTATGTAGAGAGTGGGTGAGTGACTGAAGGTATTATGATAACTCAGTTAGGTGTGGAAATAGACTCGACAATTTCAGATTTCCTGGTTCAGTTCTGTTGTAAATTAAGCCAGAGAATTCTATAACACAACTAATAATAGTTACATCTTCTGTGATTATTATTTCTTTATTTTGACGACGACACCGGTGGACTAACTGATGAAAGGATCAACTCCATTCACAGTAGCAACAAAGTCTTAACATACGGCATACTACAAACAACATATAATTAATCCCAGCTCTATGCGAGACCTTGGAGCACCATCCCTCATCGCTATTCACGAAAACGATTCAGGCACTGAAAAAACTTCAGTATTTACAAGTGAAAGTTAAAAGGAAGTTGACTGTACATTATTGACAATGCCGGTAAACTTACCTTCAGCTAGGTCAATAAAGTTCATCAATGCTCCTCAACTTATTCGTTCCCATCCCTTGAATATGCAGTGAATAAGAAACAACACAGAAGAAGGGAGCAATGTAACAAAACAAAACAAATGTAACCACACAACTGTTCAAGAAAAAGTCACATCATTTCAATTTAATTCATCCATGTAAGTGAATGATATGCAGTATTAGTAGTAGAAGAAGTATTAGTATTACCCAAGTTGTAGTTACCTAGGCAAATTTTCCGAAAGCCAGATTTCACCCGCACTCAACCATTAAGTGTTCCACATGGATAATTATGAACTTTATTCAGGCGAAAAACAGCTTCAATTCTAAGACCTAGAATGTAACAACATTAAATTAGTCACTCTCATCTTATTATACATATATATATATATATATATATATAATTTTAGCTGTCTTCTAACTCTCTCGTTATGCATGGAAGACGAAGTAAAGCTTGCATTTATGTTTCTGTATATGAAAGAATATTTCTTATATCTTACATATTTTATTCGTATAAACGGAATTTCTCTCTGTTGGTGGTGTAAAAAAGAAAATCATGTTAGAAGTGATACAATAACAGATCATTTGAAGTTACCACATTTCGCTAATACCAACATAAGTGGAAGAAATCTGCACGAAAGGTGAAAAAATAATAATAGTGACACTGATACAAGTAACAGTAAAAGTATAAAACCAAATGTAAGCGGTAAAAGTAACAAGATAAGGGTGAAAAAGTTTCCTGATTTTCATAGAATATTAATAAAGCATAACCATCTGCCTTGTACTTTCCGCCTTACACCCTCCAGTAGTCTATGTAAGTGTAGTACTTAGGCGCTAGTGTGTCAATGGTTCACCGGTAGAACGGTCGCTAACCGTGCATCTGGGTGGCGTTCGACTTCCGGCTCGTTAGCCTAAACTAGCTGATAGCCGTCCCGCAAAGAGGAAAAGCTAAGCAATCCTACCTCATAGAAAAAACACCACCACTACAGGATCTTCAAAGATCAAACCTGAAGTCCTTTCTTCTCTTAGAAGCGCAAAGGAATGGAAAAAAGACGCACACACTATGACAGTATTATTAGTAGTATTGGCTTTTTGATTGAGGTTTATTTATTCATTGTGATGTCGAGTACAGTTTACCTACAAACAACCATATTTAGACAGTTACTGCGTTTCTGTTATCCAACACACTTATTTGTTCTTCGTGAAGAAATTTATAAAAATGCAGTGAATATCTACCCTGATACGTTTAAAAATATACATTGTAAATATGATGCATTGTAAATTTTGAGTAGAAATCTACACTTCGTCATACAATTACAATCAATGTTGATTGCATGGTAACACTAAATACCAATCAAATTACAGACTAAATTTGATAATGCAGTCCCAACTTGTGTCGTTTTCGTAAGTGCAAGCGTGATTTAGTTCATACTGCACAAAGAAGAGTAATTACACGGACAAAACCCAACGGAGATTATTCATATTATTATTGTGACATTGAAACAAAATTAACATTAAAATAAATTAAATATCCTCATAGTAATTTAATAACAGGAAAAACATTTCGAGAGAACAATTGTTTTCAGCAACTTCTTCAGTGTTGTAAATCTACTATGATCATCATTGTTATTTGTCACCGTTTGGATTTACTCAAAGTTTATCTGGTCCTCATTATTTGATTACAACTCACTGTACGTGAGACCGAATGGTACAATAGGTGTTAGATTTCGGCATTTCTTTATGGCGTAGGCTCCAGCAATTCGTTAATACAACCCCGAACTTCATTTGCAGAATGGATCTGTTCAGTCTTTTTCCTAATCGCCCGCTTCTATCTTTAGTAATAAATTCACCATGCTCAATGGAACCTGATCACCAAGGAGGAGGGACAAATCAAACAGTGGGCTGATCACTTTAATGGACTCTTGAATCGGCCACCACAGGCAACCCGCCCACAAATACCACCAACAGTACACACGAAAATGCCAGTGGACACCACTCCTCCAACGAAAAAAGATATCCTGAATGTGATCAAGCTACTGAAATCCGGCTGGGAGGGCAGCAGGACTGCATTCCTCCCAAAGCACTGAAGATGGCCTCAGAGATTATGGCAGATGTTCTCACTCCATTACTACAAAAAGTTTGGAAAGAAGGAAAGCTGCCTGCTGATTGGAAGAAGGGCTACTTCGTCAAACTGCTAAAGAAGGGTGACTTAGGCCTGTGCAAGAGCTGGTGTGGAATCGTGCTCTTGTCCACACCAAGTAAAATACTAAGTCGTATCATCCCGGAGAGAATAAACGATGAACTGGTAACAGAATTCCACCACCCACCGGAACAAGCTGGACTCAGGGAAGGCAAATCATGTGCTAACCATATTGCAACTCTACGCATCGTCATCACAGAACGAAGTATAAAATGTCAGTCAAACATCTACCTGAACTTCATCGACTTCGAAAAGGCTTTCGACAGGGATGGCCGAGAAGTAATTTGGGAAGTACTTCAGCACTATTGCGTTTAGTGCCCAAGTATTTATCAGCCTAACTCAACAGCTGTACGACAGTGGCACGTGTCACGTGATCCACAACGGAAAGCTCAGCTAGGCGTTCGAAGTGCATACAGGAGTAAGACAAGGCAGCCTGCCTATTATCACCGATGATATTCTTAATTGTGACGGAATGGATTATGCGTCAGACTGTGGGTAGCGAGGAGACAGGAGAACGCTGGGTCACAGATGAGAAGACTCCGGAAGATCTGGATTTCGCAGATGATGTATGTCTAATTTCACACAAACTCGAAGACTTGCAGGCGAAAACCAACAAACTGGCTGAAGAGGCAGCGAAAACAGGACTGTAGGTGAACACAGAGAAGAAGGAATTGATGAACATAACCAATCAACAGCAACAACAACCAGCACCAATCACCATCAACGGAAGAGCTTTAACAGAGGTTGTCTCCTTCACCTATCTGGGAAGCATCGTTTCAGCTACAGGCGAAACGGACGAAGATGTCAAAGTCAGAATTGGAAAGGCAAAATACACTTTCATCAAACTGAAACCAGTTTGGAAATCTTCCGCACTCAGCATAAGGAACAAGATTCGCATTTTCAACACCAATGCCAAGTCGGTGTCAGAAACTTGCAATGCGTGTCACGAAAAGGATTTTCAAAAGCCTGTTGCAGATTTTGATCAACAGCTGCCTTCGCTCCATACTGAAGATCAAATGGCTGGTCAAAAAGAATCAACAGCAAGAAACTCTGGCAGCAAACCAACCAAAGCCGATCGCTCAACAAATATGTAGGAGAAAGCGGAGATGGATCAGGCATACATTGAGGAGTTCGTGTCGGTGGCACAGCGGTTGGAGTACTCGCCAACCATGCGCAGGGTTCGATCCACGGCCGAAGCACATCCGATATCAGTGGTCAGCCTGCGAAATTTGGGTTACCGATATCACATACTGGAAATTCCATACTTGTGTCAAAAATACTATGGGGAGTCAAGCTACAATAAAAAAGACATCGCACGCCAGTCTCTCTAGTGGAATCCAAGTGGGAAGTGACGAGTGGGTCGTCAGTGTGAGGGTGACATGGAGGAGATCGTGTGAGGAAGAGATGAGAGAGTTTGGTCAATCGTGAACTTATCTGAAGAGGACTGCAGAAAACAGAACGAAGTGGAGATGTGTTATTGAAGCCCCATGTTCCACTCAGAACGCAAGGGAATAGTAATAAAAATAATAATAAAAACCTGAACAATTTATTGAAAACAACTGTTTGCTCAAACTGAATAAATTCTTCGAGCGTATAAATATACCTAGTGGATGGGCACCAATAAGCTTGAATCCCCAGTCTAACAGCTTGCTATTGATTGCCTTCAGTTTACAAACATACCTATAAACATTTTCTCTTTTTAATACTTTTATTGATTCTTTAGTGTTGCTTATTACATGCATGCAGTTGGATTTTATGATTGTTCC